AAATAAACCAAGATTGAGTGGTACCTCCATGAGAATCTGAAGTCCTTTTCCCCACTTTCTCTCTGAGTCTGCCCACAGTCTGAAGTTAAAAATCTGGTCTTCCTTGTTTTCTTGCAATCTAACGACATCTAGACAGATTAAACTAGTCTTGGATCTCTCTTTGCTGGACCAGTGTCATCTAGGTTTCTTGTAATGGGTTAGGCATTTCCAGAAACTCAATGATTTTGAAAGCAGATTTCTAAATCTGGACCTATTCAATTAAACACAACTCCATAAGTGAAAACTGTGATGTCACATAACTAGAAATAGCTGTGACATTTGCGATTACAAGTTTGTTTTTCTTTTTTGGAGATATTGCCATTATTTTCAGAGCTACTAGGGGCTTCCGAGATCATTTAGCTGAATCCAGATGAAGAAACCTGGAACACAACAATATAAATAGAGAGAGGACTCACCTCGATCCCCTGATTCCTATTCTGGTGCCCTTCCTTCTGTAACACACAGCCTCTTTATATTAAAGCTCTAGAGTCAAACAAAATTTTCTGAGATGTCGATTTGTTATGTTAAATACTATTGGATATTCACTTTTTAAATATACCCAGTAATTAACTGGTTTGTGAAAAGAAGAAGCTTTTAAAAATAGACACATCATACAACACTCTCCACAATTTATAAGTTCATAACTTCATCTGGGACATTCTTTCTTGTTGACAGAAAGTAATCCATCATGGGTCTTGATGCTCTCATTTTCCTGATGCTATATAACCATTTAATCACAGTTTAAATAGCTATAATAATTCTGTCTCCTTCCTCTCTCTCTCTAAAAGTAATAGCTGTCCTTCATCCACTAATTTCAATGGCTTTTAAATACTGCTGTCTGCTTTGTATTTCAAGGATGACTTCTAACTGCATCAGTTACGTGGACCCTGTCTTAGTCATCTAGTGCTGCTTTAACAGAAATACCACAAGTGGATGGTTTTAACAAAGAGACGTTTATTTCCTTACAGTAAAGTAGGCTAAAAGTCCAAATTCAGGGCGTCAGCTCCAGGGGAAGGCTTTCTCTCTCTGTAGGCCTTCTTCTCATCAGTGTTCCCCTGGACTAGGAGCTTCTCTGCCCAGGGACCCCAGGTCCAAAGGACGCACTCTTCTCCTGGCACTGCTTTCTTGGTGGTATGAGGTCCCATGTGTCTCTGCTCACTTCTCTCTTTTATATCTCAAAAGAGATTGGCTTAAGACACTATCCAATCTTGTACACCTCATCAGTATAACTGTTGCTAATCCATCTTATTAGATCATAGTGACTGGATTTACAACACATAAGGAAATCACATCAGATTACAAAATGGTACACAATTATACAATACTGGGAATCATGACCCAGCCAAATTCACACACATACTTTTTGGGGGGTGTAATTCAATCCATGACAGACCCCATCAGCAATACCGTGCTTAACTTACTCACCCAGATGCCTCCAGATCTGAGCAACTGAGCATTTTCAGAATCTGCATGTTAGCTCTGTGGTATAATGACTAATGTCAGCCCAAACTTTGCCAAACATCTCTCATCACTACTAGTTACATCCCATTCCAAACTATTGGGCTTGCTCACTCTTTCTGGAGCACACCCCCCTCCACATATTTGCAGTATGGATTCAACAATATGACAATCATTTTCTTTCCTTAAAGTGCCACTGCTGCAGTGGATAAAAATAACTTGTTACTGCTGTCACTGCCTGACTGGGGGAGGTGGTAGTGGAGAGATGAGAAGCTGCAGTAACTAGTCTGGATATGTTTAACTCTCTATCTCTGTCCAAAACTATTCTATTTCCTGGCCTGAGTCTCTTAAACTCCTCCTAGTTATCCAAACTCTCTGGGACTTTCATGTTTTCTGGAGAAAAATAACAAATAATGACCTCCATGCTGAGTCAATGGTTTCTAACTCGCTTTAGGCTTGGGCCCTGGAATCCACTGCCAGCTACAGTACTTGTGTGAGTTTTGTTTTCTTGATAAATAAATGGTACTATGTTGCACAAAGTAGGTTGTGGCATACTTTCCATAAACTGCTAAAACAGTTGAGGGAATCCAAGACTCAGCCAGGCAAGTAAACACATTTAATAGTACAGTAACATGGATCAGGAAAAAGTTATTCTAAAGCACAGCGTCAAGAGAGAAAGAATACGCTTGCAGTTTATTTAATGTTTTCCTTATGTTTCCTCTGAACAGCGTTTATTCCTTGACAAGCTTCTCCTGTCCACTGAATATAGCTCTCCTTTCCTGGGATGGTTCAATAACTGCAGTTTCTCACTGGGTTTGTTTATTTATTTACACTGCCATTCCTGTTCTCATCCAAACTAACATATGTCTGCCCAACACACGGTGAAAAGTAAATGTCTTTCTTCGTGTTTATATCCCTGAAGTTGTTCACCAAATTGTTTTTTTACATCCCTTTTGCAATCTCATCCCATCCGGCTCAAGTATCCCAGATTAGAAAGACCATCTCTGGAGTCCTTTTCAAAGGGAGTCTCCCACAGTCTTTAAATCCCCCATGTTTTATGGTGCAGATATTCAGGATCTGAGGTATTAAATGGGAAAGAAAGCAAACCTAAGGATGAGGAGTAGAGGTATAGAAAACTAGAGTAACTTCTTTTTTGAATAACTATTCTTGTAATTGCCCTGTTATCTATAACTTTTCTGGTTCAAAGGGATTAACTCACATCATTTGCAACTGGACATTATGCAATGGAGGGAGGAAGCTGTGTGTGTGTGTGTGTGTGTGTGTGTGTGTGTGTGTGGTGTATAGGAAAAAACAGTTCCATTACAGAAATAAAAATGTTAGAAATTCTTAAAAATAAGCTCCAGATCATAATCTTGATGGGGTTATTGTCTTCCTTGTAATATCAAACTGAAAGCAAACTCGATACCTACTTTCAAAATTCTAAAAATGTCATGTAATAAGTGATATTTAATTAATTAAGGAATCATCATGGAAAAGCCAGTCTTTCAGATTTTAATTTTTAACACCGTGACAAGAATGCATATTTCATGTTCAAGCCCTTTTGTATCCAGGCCATTTCATCTCCTCAGTCCTCACTTTTGGGCTGTTTAACAACCACACCACTAAGAGATATTGGACAATTCGTTACATTGCAAGCTTGTAAAATGGAATGCATTGGGTGATATCATTTCTTTTTTCTTCCTCTAATTTACCAAAACATAAACTGGAGACAACCCAAGAAGTCTACACAGCAAAAGGGATTACAAATGGGGCAGGGGGGTGGAGAAGACATACAGATTTTACCTGTTTTCCTGCCAGGCTTTAGCTATTTTCTAAACCTAAATTATTTGGGCATAGGAACTGACAAGGTCTCTATGAATTAGGAGCTTTTTCAAAGTGACCTACCAGAAGTGTGTTGCTGTGTAATATACTGCTGAAGAAGAGTAGTCTTTCAGATAGTCTGTTAAATACTACACATAGCACACGTTTATATTAAAATAACTTTGGTGGCTTGTGACCAAATAATTACTTCTAAAAGCTCATAAGCTTGTGCTACTGGAAAAAAGAGGTAAGAAGCTTCCCACTGACTAACAGCACCCAGGGTGTACACCGCTCAGTAGTACCGGCCCTCCGTTCTCCCACCCCTGAGTGGGCCAAGAAACCCTATTCTCCGCTGCTGGAGGTCCCCACTTTCTTCGGGAACAGAGAGAAATAGTGGACCACCACCCCCACCCCTCCCAAGGCTAAGAAAATCTTTTCAAATTATTATGCGCGGTCCCCCAGGGGAGAAACCAAAATGCATAACTGATCCCCTCAAGAGCGTTGGGAGACGGAGAGCGAGACCTAGCACGCCGATCCAGGACGAGTTAACTACGGAGGGAATTGCCTGAGGGGAGGAGGAATCTTCCAGAGCTGCAGCAAAGGCTGTTTGCAGGAAAGCCGCAGCACAACTACATTTCCAAAGGGACAGCCCTAAGCCCTTACACCTTTAGGTCCTCTTCCCTCCGGGCAGGTAACTCGTGGCCCAGGCGACCAGTAGCTCCCACCGAGCTTCCTCCCGACCACCCACCCGCCCTACGTTCAGCTGCAGCTACTTTTATTGAAAGAAAGAGAGCAAAGCAATAGAGGAGGAGCTCAGGAGAGCTGGGAAGGAGTCGGCGGCCCCAAAGCTCCCACTGATCTGTCCCGGGGCGAGGGGCGAGCTGCCCTGGGGCCAGCAGCTGCGTGGCGGCGCTTGGAGTGAGGTGGGGGCACAAGGGTGCACGGCCGAGGACCGCAGGGCGCGCCCAGCTGGAGACGGCGGAGACGAAATGGATTCGGGGAGTGGGAGCTCCCGCCCGCCAGACCTTCGGCCTCCAGACTCCCAGCCCGTGAGCGCCCACTTCTCCCCGCGAGAGCTTGCCCGCTGAGGGGCTCCTGTCGGGACGCAGTGCCTCCTCCATTTCCCCCAGCTCTTGTTCTCCCGCTGTCATTGCAGTGTCCGGAGATGCTCCGCCGCAAACCCGGGACCCCTTAGGCGCCTCTTCCCGTCTCTCTGCCAAATCGCAACGCCTGTACTTTTCCAGCTCTCCCTTTCCCTCTTGAAATTGAAAGTTATTGAGGTCGCTCAGGGTTGTTGCTCCAGCAGTTTCCTTCCCCGCCCCCCGCAGCCATCCCCCTCCTCTCCCCCTTCTTTCGTCCCCTCCCTCCCTCCTCCTCTATGGGGTGCTCCCTGGAGCCCAGCCCTGCACTGGAGCGGCTCCTGCTCGCGAACTGCAGAAGCAGCTCGGGGTCTCTCCGCCGCCCCTTGGCCATGGCCGCGGTGCCCACAGAGCCGGCTCCCTT